TTGAAGGTTTTGATTCTTAGATCTTTTATAATCTCTTCTAAAGATAGCTGATTCAGGAACATTCTTGATTTAATTTTGGGTAGCAAGGAGACTTTATGTGTTTCTGAGCATTACGTGTCCTTGAGTAGGCACTAAAATAATTGGCATGATCTTAGATTTGAGAAACATGGAATGAACACAACAGACAAATATTATTATCATGAAGTTTACATTCTAATGGTGGGAAGCCACAAAGAAGAAAAATCTATATTGTATTATACACAGCGGTATGGAAAAATATAGCAGGGAAGGTAGATAGATAGAAAGTGCTGGGAGGGAGGGCAACTTCAAATCAGGAGGTCAAATAGGAACTCAAGAAACAGCGGACATTTAAGCAATCACCTGTTGAAGGTGAGGGGGTGAACCCTGTGGATATTAGGGGAAAGGTAGTTCTTGGCAGGGAGAACAAGGAATGTGCCTGCCAGGTTCATGGAGAAGCAGTGAGGACAGGACACAGGGCAGAGCGAGCAGAGGGAAGAACAGTGAGAAAGAAGTCAGAGAAGAGCAGGTGAGGGCCTTGTGGGCCCCTCTGTGGAGTTTTACTTTCACTCTGAGTGTTCTGTGCAGAGAGGTGTCATGAAATGACATATTTTTAAAGATTCACAATAGCTCCTATATTGATAATAGACGGGGGGAGGTGCAAGAGCAGAAGCACAGAGGCTTTTAGGTTATTGCATCTACGGGATGAGCGTGGCTTGATCACTTCAGAGCTGCTAAGCATAAGCACCTTGTCCAAGTTCACATAACTAGTAAACGTGGAAGCAGGATATGAAACAGAGACAGATTTCAGCCATGACTGGACGTTCTCTGAAATTGTGTACATGAATAAAGTCAGGACACAAACACTAAAGTTCCCATTTTGAAAAAGTTATCAAAAGGTACGTTTACTTCACCTTTGCTGCTCTCTCGTTGAACTGGGAAGCCTCTAGGCTCTTGGGCCCATGCGGGGCTCTCCTTTCTGGTATACTTTCAAAGTGCCTACAGAATGTTCTGATAAGTTGGATACAGGTTGGGAGGGAAAGAGGAATCAAATATGTCAACTCTAAGATTTGTAACATGGAGCATGAAAGGTGCCATTGAATGTGATGGGGAAAACAAGTTTTATGTGGAAAACCAGGAAATGGGTTTTATACCCAGTGGAGAAAGAGATGCACCCAAATAGAGATGACAAGTTGATTAATATCGGAGTGAGACTGCTTCATTCTGTGTGCCCTAGACGAAATGATGGTTAAATTGTTGAATATTTCAAATATTATTTTTCATTATATCTATTAGGTGGTATTGCAGTTGTCATCCTCACTCATGTGGTACATAATGTGTATATCCAGGTTTCTTTTTATGAAAAAGATACTTTGATCATGTAAAATTCCTTTTCTCAAGGGTCTTCAGTGGCCCCTTATGGCCTATGCAATAAAGTCAAAATATTTGGCTATGAAATGTAAAGCCTTTCACAATTTGATCCAAATCAACGTTAGATGAACTCTACTTTGATTACATTGGGCTTGTTAGAATCCTTCATACTTGGGTCTATCCACCTCTGTTCTGTTTATGTTGCTCACATTACAGCAGTGTACCTCAGCTTCCACCACCTACCAAAATCCTACCCACCCTTCAAGGCCCAGCAGAAACTGAAGCTCTTTCCATAAAAATTAAGGCTGAGAATGAGCTCTCTCTCCTCTGAATTCTCACAGGCAGGTGAGAATTGTGTGTGTATACATTAATTTCATTAGAAGCAGGGACCTTTGCTTATTTCCCTTTGGCATCCACTCAGAGCCAAGTGAAATCTAAATGATTGATAGCCCTTCTTTTTGTCATATTATTTGTTGCACAAATAATATGATCGGTATCCCTATCTTTAAGATCATATTACTATTAATATCTAAGCTTTTGTATGTATTACCAAAGATAGCAAGGAGGACACAATTGTGCCCCAAGGAGGAGGACACTATTACAATTGTCATTTTACAAATGAGGAAGTTGAGGGATGCCTGGATGGCTCAGTCTGTTAAACATTTGCCTTTGGCTCAGGTCATGATCCTGGTGTCCTGGGATTGAATCCCACATCAAGGCTCCTTGCTCAGTGGGGAACCTAATTGTGCCCTTTGTCTTTTTCTCTTTCGCTCTCTAACAAATAAATACAATCTTTTCAAAAATTAAAAAAAAAAAAAGCAACAAGTGGAAGTTGAGCCTCAGAGGCCTTAAGGATCATGCCCAAAGTCACAAGTGGTGAATGGTAAAGCCAAGTTATGAGTCCAGATGAAGTGACTCCAGTCAGACCTTTGCATTCCCCGTTGATGCTCTCAGTCCTTCCTGGATAGCACACTCACTTAAAAATTTGTGCAAACAGGTTCAGGAAGCAAAATAGGGTTTCAACCTTCATTCTAAAAGGATAGTAAAAAAAAAGAAAAAATGTTAATTTTACCTGACAAAGAATGCCTCCAAGCATTTATAGAAATGTGATGATCTGTCTTAGAATAGTTTTGAGAGAATTATCATCAACTCACATGAGAGTTACAAACCAGTGACTGGTAGTTCCTTGGTCCTTTTTCTTCACCATATCTCTCTTTGTTCATTATTTTCCTCTGTGTAATATCTTAGTCACTTGAGAAATGAGGACTCTTCAGATTCCACTTGGAAACATGGAATGACATGTCTTTTCCTCTGAGGGTTATTGCAGCTACTAAGACTTGTCAGGAAACAAAGCCTGACTGCAAGCCAGACTCTGACATGGTGCATGTGAGAAGGCTGGAGGTGAGGTAAGGAGGGCATGTGTAACAGAATATATCCAGCTTATTTCTCAGGCTGGCTTAATGCAAGTTCCTTTTTTCTCAAACCAAACTGGGGGCTCTCCGGAAGAGCCATTGTTAATTCCTAAGTTACCACACTGTTCTCTGGAGCTAATTGAAAATCCGTTTGCTGTTAAACTGCATAGCAGAAGAGGCAAAGGAATTGTGATGAAAAATGCAAAGGTAGAGGATTTCCACTCCATAGAGCCATCATGCCATGTTGTGCTGTAACGATGAGTGTGCATTGGGAGAACTATATAAAGGAGACCCAAAAGTCACCAAGGCCAAGGACGGTACTTTCTGGCAAGAAATGTTCTTTCCAACCACCCCTCTACGTTAATGTTACCATATCCACTGGGTTTATTATTACCAAGTACACAGATGAGGCTGAAGTGAACCTTGAACAATATACGTATAACTAATGTAGGGGAGGAGGATTGGGAAAAAATATTTTCACATTATAGTTTGTTTTCCTCATTTTTGATGAGCAGGTTTTAGTGTTAATGAAGTGTCAGTCTCCAGGGAATCTCTGCTTATATCCCCTAAAATCAGATCATATGTGAAATCTGAACAATTTGATTCCCACCTGCATTTTTGGATATTGCCTTAAGGAAACATCACTCTATTTCACTAGAGTGCACCCCTAGGACAGACCAAGAAACCAGGAGAAAACAAAACCATGTACATATACATATAGACAGCAAAAAAATCTATAAATTTGCCATGTAGATAGACCTCAATTTATTCATTCAGCAGAATGCGTTGGACACATGCTGTGTGTCACGGTGCTGTAGGCACAGAAGCAACCATGCAACCATGCAAATAAACAATTTTAAATACTAAGTAAGGGCTCTGCTTGGATGGTAAAAGTAGGTCAAATAAGGTCATGGGCAAGAGAAGCATTAGCCACGTTTTCCAGGTCAATTAGTTGGAGTGGGCCCAGAGGAGGGAATGTTCTGGATAGAGAAAGCAACATGTATTAGACATATGGCTTATTTCAGGAAATGAAGGGGATTCAGGATGGCTGGAGCATAGGAAGAGCTGGGAAGTGATGGAAGATATGAAAGAGAAAAAGGACAGCCAAATTTGGGGCACCCACTATTCTCTTTTAAAGAGTTTGAATTTCAGGAGTTTTAGGATTTACCCCACATATAAGAGGCCATCTCTTAGGAAGGTGTAAAGGAAAATGTAAATTAAATGATTGACTATAAATTCTTTCTTTTGCTTTCTATATTCTTGGCTGTTTTTTTCCTCCCTCTCCTCTAAGCCCAGAATGAGGTCTTCTGCTCTACCATGACACATTTGTGTAGCTCCAAGCATCCATCTTTCCACACTTTTATCTCCATGACCCGGTATTCCATTACCTCAATGTCCGGTAAAAGGATGCATCAACTAGTTAACACTAAAATATTAGTGATAAAATGACAACAACATCAAAAACAAAATAAAACATTGAACTGCAAATGAATCATGGAGAAAATCTGGACTTGATCTATGGAAAAGACAGTCTTAAACTTGAGAACTGAGTTTAAGCTTTCTGCCAATATAAAAGATAAGCTTTGCAAACAATAGCCAGGTTTTGTTTTAATGGATTTTCTCTTTTAGTTCCATAGGAATTAGTAGCACTTACAGAATTGTGAATGACTCATTAAGTTCAACATGGCTCAGCGCACAATTAGAAGGCATTGCCAGAAAATCTGGCCTTAAGGGAAGCAAGTAACCGAGTTGTCAAAAAGTCAACAGTTACCTAATTCTCTGGGAAATACAACGAAGTTATAGAAGTTTGGGTACTGAGGCAAGACTTGGTTTGCCCAGGCTTTCTGTGGTAACTTCCTCCTCCAGTGGGAGAAACTGCCGGTAAAGGAAGAATGACAATTTACTTACCATAGGCAAGGCTAATAGGCCTGTCTTAGTCACAGCCTGCCTCCTTGAGACATCCTGGGAAATCCCTATCTGGAAGAGAAGAAAAGTTAAAATCACAGATGCTGTGCCAACAACCTTATTCTGTGTAAATCGTATATGGACTCACTTCTCTTCATTTTTAATGAAAACTATGGCTGTTATTTTCTGTCATGAGTTAACTGTGTGGTCTTTTTAAAATTGTACATATTTGATCTCACTTTAAAAAATACCGCAGGAAACATTTTCTTTCTCTTTATCTCTCTGTCTTCCAAGACCCCAGGAAAAACAGCTTCCACGGCACATCTTGCACAGGGAACAACTAGAATGAGTGCTGCAGAAGGTTCTATGGAGCATGCAGAGGTAAGAACACATTTCTAGGGGATGAGTTGTCCATCTCTAGCATCAACTGCATTTCCTATGGTTCGTTAGCCAATGATGAATAAGAGTAGAAATGGCTAGTTTGTTTTCTTTAGGTACTATCTGCTACATATTTTTAATATGTTATTTAACAAAGGAAAAGTGTCTGGGTGACCCTAGCATTTCCTTTGGTCCCTCTGAGCTACATTTCTTCTTGTACTGGTTTACAAAGTCCTTTCAGTGGGCTCCTGTGGGCTCCATATTTTACCCTTGCTTTAGAGAAATTTGGTTCAATGTAAAATTAAAAAAACAATATTCGTGTAGTTGGAAATAAAAGAGTATGTATGTACAATTAATACTATAATTTTGTTGGGTTACTGGTTACTGCAACAGAAACTTACTGCATGAATAAATGAGTGAAAGTGCTTTCTTAAATTTCTTTTTAGAACTTTTTAGAACTTTGGTTCTTTTTAGTTCTTTAGAACTTTTTAGAACTAGTTTTTTAGAAGAACTTTTAGACCTTTAGAACTTTACTACTAGTGTAGAATCAAACCAAGTGATTTAGGTATTTAGATACTTAATTTAGCAGTGTCAGAATTTGAGTATCTTAGATGCTGTTTTGGGTGTTATGATAAATGAGAGATAAATGCCCAGATACTTTAAGCACAGATTACACTATACAAGGAATAATTGTTCTGTAAGTGGGCCCTTAGTAGAACCAATAACTAAAAATCTTTGTATTTATTGAAACATCAGATACCTTCATAAGTAACTAGAAAGCAAAGCAAATACAAATGGAAATTTCTTCCAAAATTTTGTGTTTGATTGACTTTGCTTTGTTTTAATACATACCTGAGACATATGAACCATGGTAACATGTTGATTAATCTCCAGAGAAACCCCTGGTGATATATTTATGGCTTGTAAGAAATTCTTATAACTGTGCTTTCTCTCTCTCTCTTACAGATTTAGGATCTAGTTTTTCAGTAACTCTTATTTATAAAATAAAAACTAAAGTCCAAATGTTTTATAATTTCTTTGCAGAGAAAATATATATGACAAAAAGAATACACACTATATAATTACTTTTAATCTGGATTCCCAGAAGCCTGGGTCATACAAATGTTTGCTGGTGGCAGAAGTTTGTTTTTTTGTCTATATCACAAATAGAGAGGAGACTTTTTGAGGACCCCAAATCTATGCCTCCAGGCATGGTCTGGAACAGGAGAAACTTGAACTTTAGTATGAATCACTATAACCTCCGAAATTTATTAAAAATAGAAATGGGATAAGTAGGCTGAGCACAGAGGATTTTTAGGGCAGTGAAACTATTCTGTATGATACTGTAACATCATTATACATTTGTTCACACTGATAGAATGGGCAACACCAAGAATGAACCCTGATGTAAATATGAATTTTGGTGATGTGTCAGTAGAGGTTTGTCAATTGTAAGAAAAACACTGCTCTGGTGGGAGTTGTTGATAACGTGTGCATAGGTATGGGAGTAGCAGGCATATGGGAAATCTCTGTACCTTCCACTAGATTTTGCTGTGAACCTGAAAATTCTCTAAAAAATAGTTTATTAAGAAGAAAATGGAGGTGCTATACTCCCTTTTCAGAAATTCTGTTTCAGCGTTCATGATGCCCTATGTTTAGCAAGCTCCCAACAGTGACTTTTATGAGTTCTTGTACTAAGAACCACTGGTTTGGAATCTGGTCTCACTGAATCTCTGCTTTGCTGAGTTCAGGATACCCTAAATACAGTTTACTCACAGCACTTTCCAAATCAAATGCACCTAATAGTCTGTTCTGAGGCAGAAAGAGTCTAGACTTCCTAAAAAAGGGAAAGCCCAGTTATAAGACCAATGTGTTGTCACCTGGATTTTGATGTTCCTTTTGGAACTCAGCCAAATCAGCTTCTTGAGGTCAGACGCAAGCATAATAATTCTAAACTTATTGACCCCCCAGAAGAATATCTCTTTTTAAATGAGGCCCTAATTGTTTATGGGTCTGAATAAGAAGAAGCTAAGAAAACTAAGAACAGTGTCTATAGAGATATAAAGTATCATCTAGCCCTAAAACATCGAGTAAGATACAGATAAGTAGAGAAAAGATAGAAAAACAGTTTTATAACTCATTTCTAATGAAAAAAAATCCTGGAAATCCCATGATGATTGTAAAAGAACACTTCCTATAAATATTTTTGGCAAAGGCTGACACATGTTGAAAATATTTAATTGTTCATGAATATCTGTAATCAATTTCCAAAACTACTGAGCCTAAAACTAAATAGCAGACTTTGGACTATCCTCATTACCAGATTCGTTGTATTGTTTATATGATTTGGAGATGAGATGGTAACAAGACTATTGAGTTAGTATAGAGAAAACAGCACTTAAGTGAACTTTGTTGGTGGTCCATTTAGACAGATGGCCCACAGTTTCCAGAGCTTTTGTTCTTTCTTTAAATAAATACCCCCAATGCTGGGCGGGTGGGGGAGAGCTGAAAAGAAAGGTGGTTAACTTTTTAGCTGTGCCAATGATTTATTATCTATCTCAACTTATAACCTATTGGCTTTATTCAAAAAGCTGGTGAAAATTGCAAAATATCAGATAATCTATGCCAACCTCTCTATAACATAATTGTATGATGGACACTGAGGTAGCTAATTTATTATAGTCTCAGAATCAGTTTGCTGCCTTTTAGTTATATGCATTGGTCTTTTTTTCTTGATGATTCTATTATTCCTCTGACTTTTGCCAGGGTTACTCTTCAGATACAGACACATCTACAGAAATGACTTTTTAGAAATATTTATTACTTAATATAAATATCCAGTGCTGACTTCGGCAGCATATATACTTAATATAAATATCCAAAATGTGTCCATGAGACCTACCTGATTTCTATAAGAATTATTATTATTTTTGTTTGGAAAGGGGTTGAAATCAAAACTCATGAAATCCTAATTTCTTATTTCCCTATTGTATAGATACATTTGTAATTTATTAGAGAATTATTTTGTCAATTACTTCATAAAAAGGAATCTGAAACATAATATAAACAGGTCTCTATGATGGACTATGGACTGAGGGTTGGTACCCCTAGAATAAGATATTTTTATGAATCACCACAGGAGAGCATGGAGTTTGTGAAGGATAACATTTCCCCAACTTATGTTGTAAACTATTTTGTTTCACTCTTTTTTCTTTTTTTCTTTTTTTTTTTAGTATGATCAATCATCAAGCAGAAAGAACTTGACAAATTCTCTTGAACAAAAGATAAGGTGTTTGGAAAAACAGAGAAAAGAGGTAATTTAGAAATATTAGTTGAAGTAACATGTAACATGATTTAATGCTAAGAATAAAATAGAATGTATATCTAGAGTCTTTTATTTTTGTTATTGGGTCACAGTATTTAGTTCTAGGATATTGAAAAGTGTTATTTTGAGAGCGAGTGCTTTTTTCTTATTCACTTTTATTTCTCTTACTCAGTTTCTCAGTTTTTGTGTAGAAGAGTGAAAAATGACAGTCATAAATCCCATAATTATAATCTTAATTTTCTCAAAACTTAAATGTTTCATCCACATGGACTATGTGAGCTTATCAACTATGCCATTATGCCTTGCAACCTGACACACCTTGAGACTCAAACTGTCACAGGCTTTAAGTGTAATTGACTTAGGTTCTATGACTTTATAAGCTGGACATCCAACCATATAGGGGGGTTAAGGAGCAATATCATAAAAAAAAATGTTTCTTTCTAAAATGCCGTTAGGGATGTAATGGATGTTATTTTGAGTTCTGTTTTTCTCAGTTTAATGAATGTAAGAAACTCTTCATTCTTCTTGACAGATGGAGAAGTGACAAGTATAACAATTTTAGCCCTGTGTATGTTGTCAATTTTTAAATTACTTTTCTAAACAATTATACATGTTATATGCTTCATGTCTTCTCTGTGGTTCCCTCTACTCCTTGTTGATACTACATAAAATATTGAACCCTTCTGGAAAATTACTGAATGATAGCAGAGTAACGTTATCATAGCATAGAAATGTTAATCCTTAAAATGCCAACAGATCAGATATCCTTATAGAGTAATATTATATAGTTCATACTAAATACCCATATCTTTTTCCAGCATAAGATTTATCTAGTGATTGCCTGTCAGGATTAGGTATTTTGTTTTATAATTAGGAGAATATCTTGCTTCTTTTCAGTCATTGTGACTATCCTCTTGATCTCTGTCCCATATTGACAGTGTTGGATTTCTCTTAATGCAGGAAGTTACAGACTTCCCTTACAAGAAAACTAAAACACAGGTCATAGTGTTTTGTCTTCCTTTTATCTAGCATATAATTTTAAAGCTTCCATATTGCAGCCTAAATTATTTCTAAATATTGTCTTATGGTAAAACTATTATTCCTTGAAAATCTGTACTTTGAAAAAGGTGATATTATCCATTCACTGAGTATATTTTACAAATCATGGGTTGATTTTAAAAAGCACAATATTGCAAGCACATGGTGATCAGTTAATATAAATTGGAATTTGTTAACATAAATTCTGCTTTTAAAAAGCTAGAAGAAATATTTCATTGCAATAATCAATGTAAGCACATAGAAAAATATGGAAAGGTTTAAAAAAAACCCTTCATATATTAATAAATTTTACAGAAAACCATCAATACTCACATATTTTTCCTGGATTTTGACTGGGCTAAACATAGATGAAAATTCAAATAACTAAGCAAAGTGGAAAGTTGTTAATAAGTGGTTCAGCTGACAAGTCAAGATATACAGAAGACTTAATAGTTTTTCATACATGAGCCACTCGTGAAAGGAAAAGTGTGCTCATTTAAATCATCGCAGCCCTACCAGTACTTGGTGAAAGGAATACTGCCTTCATCCATGGCTTGCAAGATATTAGTACCCCCCAAAAAAGTGATTTCATTTTGGCCAAATTTCCAAATGGGCAAAAGTCCATATTGATTTACCAAATTTTAATAATTTCAGCTCCTGGAAGTCAACCAGCAATGGGATCAGCAATTTAGAAGTATGAAAGAGCTATATGAAAGAAAGGTAAACACCTCCCTGTTTAGTATTTGTTTAAATCAATAATCAGTGGGACCAAATCTGTCAAGATTCTCACTGATTTCAGCTGAAGGAAATTCGTGACCAGCCAACTGTTGAAAAATGATGGGGGCGGGGGGGAAGGTGGTGAGTGTATTATTGGCCTCTTGGTACTGAAGATTAATGAAGGATATCAGTGAATTCTCTTGAGCATGGCAATACAAAAACAAAGTACTAAAAATAGCCTCTCGAGGTGTCTCTAGAGTTCTTATGCACACATTTATCATAGCTCACAGAATATCTTAGCAGGAATGAACACACAAGGTTATAGGTGAGGTGACAGATGGTTTAAGGTTCATACTGTTTTTTGCAAGGCTAGTTCTCTACTTCTTTAATTAGATAGCATAAGCTCTTTCCACAGATAAAGAAATAAACAACGGTAACAGTGAAAGTGTGAGGGGAAGTGGTGCATTCCCTTTCCCCCCTAAAGTATGTTCTCTGTCAAAGCATCTTTAGTTTTGGTGAGAAATTTTTGGAGGGATCAACTTATCGTTTTAAATTATTTCACGTTCAAAAAGAGGGAAAGGGAGAAAGTAAATTCCCCTGAATAATTCAGAATTAAGAAACCGGACCACAATGAGTAACATAGCAGTATTGCTCTTTTCCATTTTGATAGGCATAAGTATTAAATTTAGTTAGTGCACGATTATGTTCCACGACATGAGGCCATGGTCAGGTCACCTTATTATAGTCAGTCTGGAACAGCTTTTGTGTCCCCAGATTTTAAAGAACACGATCCCAGAGAAAATGTTTAAGCTGTTCAGGAAGAATGGCTCGCAGATTTATGAAGACCGGGGGTTAATAATGGGCATCTTGGATGAAGCACGCTTTCCTAAAGCTTCTCAACTGGACCGGCGTCACTCTGAGGGCTGATTCGGCCTTTCGTAGAGGGTCCAACATTGCACATTACTGATGAGTTAAAAGCCATTGTTTTTCTCTGGTGTAGACGTATTCACTTACCCCCTATCCCTCCATGCTGCCCTTTTCAAGTCAGGAAAGGGCCCATTTTGAGAGTTAGGAATAGGATGACAGGACCAGAAGTGTCCCCTCACCCCGTCTAAGGTCCAAATCTTTATTCCCTCGGAAGTGGTGTGGTTTGGAGAAAAGAGGGAAGGGGCTGAAGTCTGTTTCAGGGGGTTGTTTTTCCCCCGGAAAGGAAGCCCTTTTTTAGATGCACTTGTCCTGATCTCTGCGAAGGGGTGGCGGTGGCGGGGAGGGGAAGTAGAGCCTCTCCCCTTAGGGGCCCGCCCAGGAGTGGGGCGTGTCTGTCCCCAAGTGCACTCGGTGGGAATAAATCCGGGAGGGGGGAGGAGGGTGTGAGTTTCAGAAGCGGTTTCTGCAACGCTCTGTGAACGACTTCCTCAGGTCGCGGAGCTGAAAACGAAACTGGACGCCGCAGAAAGATTTCTCAGCGCGCAGGAGGAGGAGCGGCAGCAGAGTCAGAGAGAGAGCGACAGGCTGCGCGAGCTGACCCGCGAGCGGCTGCAGCGCCAGGAGGTGGGCGGGGCTCGCGGAGCGGACCTCCCCCGCGCCGCGGCAGGGAGTAGCCGGACCCCACACCTGTGTGCGAGGGCGGGGGGCTTGTGCGAGTCCCCAGAGGCGCAGAGCCGGGCAGTTCTCCGCAATCCGAACCAGGGACATGCCCCGCTCGCTTCCTCCTTTGTTGACCAAATGGGCTTGCGGTCCTGTGTCGGTAGAGAACGGATCTACCGGCAGAGAGAACTGATCTGAGATTTGGAGCTGTCTTTCTAGCGCATTTCAGCCTAGAAGATGAATTTTGCTCTTTCGATTTTACTCACATATATTATTTTATTATTAGTGTTAATAATAATAGGACAGTACCTTGTATTTGTACAGCTGCTTTTCAGCTTACAGAGTTTTACAAATAAGCATGGCTTTTATCATCATAAAATTAGGACGTTTTAAAAAGGGGCCTCACCTTCATTATCTCATTTAACAAGCTCTTCTCATCCCTGAGGAAAATATTATTTTTGCATTTTAAAGACAAAAAAGCTGAGATGTGAAGAGGATGCGTGATTTGCCAACCTTGCCAGCCCAGTACTTGGGAAAATGGGAGTTGAACCCCGTCTCCAGATTCTAATTCTCCATTAATTCCTGCAGAGTGCAAGGCGGTGGTCATGAAGGCGAAAGGCTTCTCCTAAAATACTCTTGGTTTTGAGGCTAATGGATATTATAGAAAATGGGAGAAAAACCTTAAGTTCTAATGGACTCTCATTTTTTAATGTATGTTAACAAAAAACAAGAACTGTAAATATTCTAAGGTGAAGTCTTGTGACTGATACTGTGAGGGATTGGCTGTATTTTAACAAATGCACCAATCTTAACGCCGTGCCTAAAATCAGTGCAGACAGTCCTCGGTGTAGGTTTCCTATTTTGGGAAGGGTGTCTCTGTCTCAGTGAGAAGAAAAGAAGGTTTAGCAACTCCTTCTGGTCCTGGAGAAGTACCTTCCTTATCCATTTAGACCCTGACCAACTGGGAATCATGGCAATTGTTCTTTCATGCAGTTGGAACCATATTCTAGTGAAGTCCTTTTCTTCTAAATTATGCCAAGTTAGAAAATGATTGATTCATTTTCTAAGCATATATGAGCTCATTCTAATTAAAGCAAATGGAAAGGTTTTCACTAAAAAACAAAAACAAACAAACAAAAAGAATAACCTAAAGTAGATATCTTAAATCTCATTATTATATTGAGAGATATTAATCACTAAAAGAGCATACTTTAACCTATGTATTAGCTATCTTCTCATCTTGATTTACTTAAATTCTGAAATATTTATTTTATTAGGTTAAAATCTGAATGCCATTAAGAATCTAATTCACTCCAGAAAAAGTTCACTATCTAAAATACAAAATAAGAATTAGAAGACAGATGTTGTCTGAATCCAGAGCCGGCTAGTGTCAAAGCAACAAACCTTGCTTCAGTTATTTAAACCACAGGACATCTTGAAGGTTATCTGGAACATGGAGGAGTGATGGCAGTTGGACTAATTGATCTCTACCATTTTTTGTCTATTTTTTAATCTCTACCTTTTAAAAGTAATAATCACAATAATACAGTGCTCTGAATAATTATCTGTAGTGAAGGCTCTTATTTGCCTGAAGTTGTATCCTCTTCTCCCCCTCTTCAGAATGATGCAGGCAGGATTGGGTTTTGAGATATTTTGTATTTTTGTTGCAATGATTTTTTTTTCTTTTTTGGAGTTTAATTACTTTCACTAAGTCACTTAACTATCACTTTGTAATAGTACATGGGAACTAGCTTATTCTGTGGACCCATTTGACCCTTGAAAGTGAGGATTGGGCATTTTGAGCTTTTTCGGCATCATAAAATTTAATAGCACTGAGTAATAAAGAAAGATTTTCTCAATCCGAACCCTGTCCTCCACCCAAAAAATATTGCTTAAATGGATCAATTAAATGAAAATCTAGCAGGTCCTGTTTTTGTTGTATTTCAGAAGTACTCCTACAATATTATCTCCTCTGAATTTTATTGATTTCGATTTTTTTTTCTTTCTGTTTACTTCAGAAGGAAAAGGAGAGCCTACACGAAGAATTACACGAATTGAAGAAAGAAAATAAGTTCTTGAAGGAAAAAAATGCTCTTGTGAACAAGAAGAAGGAACATTATGAGTGCGAAATAAAACGCCTCAATAAGGTATTAGCCGGGACAAGCTGGGGAAATGGAAGGAGAGGTCCCTGTATAAAGAGCACATTCTTACCTGAAAGTCACAACAAAATCCGTGCTGCAGTGTTGTTCCCAGTCCTGGGAGCTTGCACAGAACTTCTCTGTAATTTTCTCAGTCACTCCTGTATGTATCTTTCAGCCATACTTGACTAAGGAGGCTTTAAGGAATTAGTGTCCCTGCAAAGAATCATCATGAAAAAGAGAAACAAGGAGAAATTTTAGAAGACAGAAAGAATTTTTTTTTTTTTTTAGTTCAAAGAACCATATAAAGGGAGTGTGTTTTGTGAACAATAGCATACCTCTTGGTCAACCGCAAAAGTTTCCTGAGGAAACAGTCTGCTCTTTAAAATCATCACTATGGAACTGGCTGTGATGCAGACTCTATGGAATCATGCTAAATGCCAGACCCAAGGCTGAGATGGTGACTTTCCTGATAAGAAACCTAAAACTCACTTTTAATTGGGGTGTGGGGTCCCGGTGGGGGGCAGGGGGCTGGAGGGGCAAGCCTGTTAGAAAAACACAAGTGGTTAAATGCCTTTGCTTCAACTTAGCTATTCTAAGGGGCTACCTGTGAATTGCTTACCAAAGGATGACTAGGAAGAGTTTGTGCATTTGTGTGTCTGTGTGTCTTCGAGAGATAACAGCTTCATTTTCCTGGGAGAGGGATTGCTGACTTGCTCAAGAAAACAAATCCTTTGCTGTTGATTTTTCAGAGAGCCACATCAGATGTGTACCATAGGAATACTTCTAGTACATGTTTGAGTCAAGATATTCATCTCTGAAGTTAACGATATCATTTTTTTAAAGATTTTATTTATTTGACAGAGATTACAAGTAAGCAGAGAAGCAGGCAGAGAGAGAGAGGAGGAAGCAGGCTCCCTGATGAGCAGAGAGCCCCATGCGGGGACTCGATCCCAGAACCCCCGGATCATTACCTGAGCTGAAGGCAGACACTTAACCCACTCAGCCACCCAGGCATCCAGGCACCCCTCAAGTTAGATATTTCTTAACCAAAGTAACAGAAATCGCCTTCTAAAACAAGAGTAGGAGATTGGCCTTGAAAATGTACCCACTGCCTATATTTTGGACTGTGCATCTTGTGGTTAACTAGTGTTGAGAGGATCATTTAAAGATCCCCCAAGTGTTAAGTTTGTGCCTGTACAGTTGACAGGGTGTTTTACAAATGTGCTGCTATACTCGGTCTGCTTGTGAGATCAGTTACTAGTAGATCAGAAGATGGGAAAGTAGTGACTAACTTCCTGAACAATGTATCTCTCTATCCTCTAAGAGAGGAAAACGATGTTCAGAGATAGAAATTTAGGGCAAATGAATTTTCCCTTTTATTCTCTGTTGGAAATCCTCCACAGATGAATTAGAGGAACTAACACTGAGGTTATATTTGAAATCTTTCCCATTTGTGATATATTGTTTGATAGGTTTTCTTCTGTTCTCTAATTCATTTCTGTAAGTGTTGGCACAAGAATATAAATGCTGTAGAAATTAGAACAGCCAAGAACGCTGTTTTTTGCTTATGTCTACGTGTACCCTTCATTTTTGTGTATCTCTATCTATAGTCAACAGAAATGTTTTAAAAGTCAGTAAAGAATTTTAACCCTTAGGATTATAATAGAATTGAGAAAGTAAAAACAATTACTTGAGTAAGATTCAGGCCTTAAATGTCATCTCACTGAGAAGATTTTTCTGGCCATCCTAATTAAAACTACATACCCCACATCTGATATTTCCTATTTTAATGTTTCTTTGTAATTTATTGCTATCTCATGTATGTTCAGTGTCTCCTATTATCAAATTTATTTCCTGTCTCCTGATCTTGACTGTAAGCTCCATGAAGGAGGAGTTTTGCTGAACTGACTTCTCGATCAGGCTAGTAGGCACAGTACTAGGGCTCATGATACTTATAGTGGCCTATTAATATGTTTAATTTCCCTTAAAATCAGGAGAAAAAATGGACCTTCAGGTAGAAAAAAGTTTTCATATTAATATTATTATATTCATCTTTATAAGAATGCAGTTATAAAACACAATTTTAATATGTATTATTTGGAGACAAGGACTCACAAATACAACAGTCATAGTGTGGCCTAAGCTTTTCTGTTTTTTGTTTTGTTTTGTTTTGTTTTTTTAAAGCTATAGTCTGAATGCCAGCAACAGGGCCTTGCTCACAGTATGTTCTTAGATATTTATTGAATGGATGAATTAATTAAATAATTTAGCTAGTACATAATACGTTCAATAGCCAAATCTGGCCCTGAGTTTCCTGCTTTAGCAGGCATAATGCATTACTTATGACTAGTGGAAAAAAAAAAAATAAAAGGGCACTTCAAGCCAGAAAACGTTTTGTCTGCCACATCTATACCTTAAGGTGTCATTAAAAAAACATAGATATACAATGGTAAGCTATGAGGTTTTTTCCCTCATTTAACCATGTATTAGGGTCTAATGAAATGTGTAAGTTATTACTATTCATTTTTACACTGTAGATTTGACTTGGCTTTTCTTTTCTTTTCTTTCCTCTCCTTTCCTTTCCTTTCCTTTTCTCTTCTTTCCTTACCACTGTAATAAATAGAAGTTATTCAAAATGTTGATTTGGGTAGCTGATTGTGCATACCATCCAACACAGTATGGAATCTGGGGACCAACCTCCTTGCACAAGCAGACCGCCTACTGACCCATTCACTCAGCAGAAATTTGTAGCGTGTCAGTTTAGTAATTAACATATGGTTTTCAGAAGTTCACACAACTGTGTGTACTCAATTCAATTTATTTGCTTTGAAGGAAATACCCAAGGGCATTGTTTTCTTTGAGTTCTTAAAGAGAAGCCAGATGTTTAACCAAAGTGAAAGAAATTACCTGAGGCTAGTCAGCCGGTGCCACCCATGGGCAAAAGTGATTTGTCCAACATCTCACTGTCATGAGATGGGTAGATCTATTTAGTTTGCCTGTGCTGATAGTAAATTACTGTTCTAGCGTAGGTTACAGGTGTTTGTTCAAGGAAGTTGGAAAACCCCAAGATGGAATAAATGTTGATTAAACTCACCTTTCGTTTATGATTCATTTGTAAAATTTCTAGAAGCCTGAATAGCATGAAAGGTAGACCAGGAAATTCAGATATAACAAGACCCACAAAAATAATCTCGTCATAGGGGTAGGATATGAAATCAGCATTTTTTATTTAAGTCTTATTTGGCTCACTCCATCCTAGATTCTCACATGACTACTAACACATTTTTAGAAATTATAATTAATATGATCCTTCCTAAATCTCTGTAGCTTAGCAACAAATTCTAACAAAACATAAATTATTAAACGACATTTGTTGTTTTTTTAAGTTCTTCTTGGAGGAAGAAAGAAGTTCTCGTTTCTCTTACAATTTCCTGAAAAATGATACTTACAATCAGGCTAGACAGTATCCATAGGGTTAAAAGACATTCTATTAGGAAATTCTTAGCCTGTCTACACATATTTAAGATAGTAACTGCTTTTCTTTTCCTATCTTCATAACCATACTGTACAGTAATGCAGGAAAATAGTTAGTAATAGTATTCCCAAACGCACATCATTGAAGCTACCAAAGCAGTTTAGAGGAATTGAAATCTCGGAACTCTGAAAGTGAAACTTTTCTGTTTGTATAAAGGACTCATTTGATAATGAGCAAGTAGTCATAATGTATTTGGGCTCCCAGACCACACCAGGATGAGGCGTGTTGTTTCTCAGTTTTCACAGCTGTTTATTGAACTCATCACGAACCGAGGTCTTCAGAATAGAGGCGATGTCTTTTATATGATTTGATGAAGTATAGTAAATGTAAGAGATCATGGGCTAGTGAATAATGATGGTAACCTTGTTGACAACTCTAAGTGTCTCTTGTTGCTTTCACCTCCTCACCAGTGAAACCACTAAGTTAGGCTGGGTGTCAAGAAAGCATGGAGCGCTTGGGTGCTTCAGTCGGTTAAGCATCCAACTCTTGGTTTCGGCTCAGGTCATGATCCCAGGGTTATGAGATAAAGCCTTCTGTTGGGGTCCACACTGAGCATGGAACCTGTTTGAGAGTCTCTCTTTCTTCTCTCTCTGCCCTCCCTGCCCCATATCTTGCATACTTTTGTGCTCTCTCTAGAAAAAAAAAAGAAGAAGAGGAAAGAAAGAAAGGAAGCAGAGTGCTCCTTGTACCCTGCAGTGGGTTAATGAATTTTTTTTTAAGATTTTATTTTTTCATTTGACAGAGAGAGAGAGATCACAAATAGGCAGAGAGGCAGGCAGAGAGAGAGGGGGGAAGCAGGCTCCCTGCTGAGCAGAGAGCCTGATGCGGGGCTCCATCTCAGGACCCTGAGATCATGACCTGAGCCGAAGGCAGAAGCTTTAACCTACTGAGCCACCCAGGCACCCCTAATGAATGTTTTATTAGAGAATAAATATGACTGTGGCTAGGGCAGGGCACAGTATACTGAGGACGACAGGGCAGAAGAGCAGCAAAAATGTAGATCTAAGGAATATAGTTCTTCATGGGTTCACGTTTCCGTGGGTCTCGCTCTCTCCTATCAGGAGCAGGGCTGGATAGCACAATATCACTCATGATGTCATCTGGGACCAGCAGCATCAGCTTTTGAGGAATGCAGATTCTCAGACTCTCTCCCCAAATCTACTGATTCAGGAACTCCGGGGTCAGTGCCAGGGATGGGCATGTTTGCTACCTCTCCAGGTGATCCTGATGCTCTCTAAACTTTGAGCATTATTGATAAAGTATGTGTTTGACTGAAGCAGAGAATCTGAAGGAAGGTTATAGATGTTTTCTTTTCATGGTTGGCTTGGTGGCAGGGAGATGCCCAGCATCAATATCAAAAGCCCTTCTAAATAACAATGACAGTTGAATAACATAAGCATCGTCATGGAGAAAAGACAGAGATTCTGAAAAAAAAATTGTATGTTAAAAAAGGAGAAAGAAGAAAAGTTATTCAGTTGGAAAGGTAGCATCAAAAATGGAGTTCTGGGGGCGCCTGGGTGGCTCAATGGGTTAAAGCCTCTGCCTTCGGCTCAGGTCATGATTCCAGGGTTCTGGGATCGAGCCCCGCATTAGGCTCTAGCCCCGCATCGGGCTCTCTGCTCAGCAGAGAGTCTGTTCCCCGCTCTCTCTGCCTGCCTTCTCTGCCTACTTGTGATCTCTGTCTGTCGAATAAATAAATAAAATCTTTAAAAAAAATGGAGTTGTTTAGCAGGGGTCATTTTGAGATCATTTTAACAATTATAGAGGAATTCATTAGATGTGGTAACTCTTAGCTCAACCAAGTGCTTATCATATAACACAGGCTCTTCAAGATGCCTTGAAAATCGAGTGTTCTTCATTTTCGGAGGACTGTTTGGGAAAGTCTGAAATGGAGTGCAGGCATGAGGAGATGCGAACAGAAATGGAAGTTCTCAAACAGCAGGTGAGAAGTTGAAAGTGGCGCGATCATGTAGAAAACACAGGGCCCATTGTTCATGGTCCTTTGGACATTTTTGGAAATCTTTCTATTCAAAACGTGTCCAAAGTCTTCGCATTTATTTTCATTAGAATTATCTAATTTTAAAGCTTGATAGGAGAATATATATAAGCTAGCCCAACTCACACTTTATAAGAGGGGAATTGAGTTTCAAATGGGTGAAATGGTTTATCCAAGATCATACAGTTAAAAGAAGGGCTTCCTAATTAACCTTTTGGTGAGATTATATTAGCACTGGTCTAGAGAGTTTCACATGGACACAATTTATTTTGAAAACACTACCACTGCAAACCTTGGACCTTTTCAGAAAATGCTTGCAGCCAGGCTGTTATTCTGAGCTGTTTGCCTCCAGGCCTTTGAACAACACGGGCAGTGTTAAATACTCTGCACTGATCATAAGCACTGAAGAGCCAGCTCTACTCACCGACAGCTGCATGTGGATGGCACCACCTAGCAATTTATTGATACACAAGGCCCTTCTCCTCCCCACTCAACCCCACATCACCAAGTGGACAGAAGAGTAAAGGTGTTAACTTCTACATGTATCAGCAACATAGGGCTATAGGCACAGAGCACTGCCTGACTGATTTGGATCTAAATTTAGTTCAGCCAGCTGGAGCTGGCTTAGCTGAGGGGCCACCCATGCATATCATATCTCTTTTCCTGTAAGAGGTTAAATAAACTAATGAAGATAAAGTTCATGGAACAGTTCATGGCGATGTCAATAAATATAGGATACATATAGGAATCCTATCTCTGAAGCGCACATTGTCAGTAATATATTAGCGGTGGGGGAGAGGATGTGATAGAACAAAGGGCTGGGAAGTATGTCCCTGGAACTGATTTGTTGGCTGTTTTGCTCTGAACAAGGCCAACTCCAAGGATTCTTGATGCAATACGCCAAAGAATGAAGCAACTGCGTTCTTGTTGTTATCGTTATCATTTCCTAAGAAGTAGCCTATTTGTAAATCTAGAAAATTCTAGATCTTGCACTTGATCATAAAGTTGCATTTTCTCTTCTTTTAAACCATTTGAATATTCGGCCCCATTACATTCAGGATCAAATACATGGTTTAAAAATAAACCTATGAAGAGAATAAGGATAGTTTTCGGAGTGTTAAAGCTCTGCCAAATTCTCAACCCCAAAAGTACCATTGCCACTAGCCAGGATTCCTCTGAAAAAAAAACTACTTCTCATGTTCAGACACTTGAATCATCTTTGATGCTCTCATATAATGTATCCCACATGCGAGAGAGTCACTCTTACACATGCATAGAATTTGCAGCAATGGTTTAGCTCATATTGGATGCAGACAATGACAGGTATCCTTTTTTTCATTATCCCCAAGAGGTCCAGAATCCATCTCCTTAGTTTTTGAGTGGCTCTTTTGCTAACGTTATGCATACACATTTTAACTGTGCACATTTTTAACTGGACACCCACAATCACTATATCATCAGGTGTCATGTGATACACTAAAGGATTTCAATTCACAAAGAAACTGAGCTAGAATCTTGGCCACCTGGCTGCAGTGATGACATCGCTATCAGTGTTGTGTTTGATAAAGAGTGTTCAGTTCTGATTAGACGAGCTTCTCCTATTTCAAATGCCTCTGGTAACTGTTTACAGAGCATTAGTTTGACTCTGTCTGGAACTGAGCCTCAGATCTTAACCCAAACCCAAACCAAAACAAAATGTCAGCTTAGCTGGGTGTAGTTCCCTTGCAATGCTTCTGGTGGATGAAACCTTAAAAATTAAATGTGTATATCTGCATCTAGATCTGTATAACATGTTTAATTTTTTCCTTTCTTGCCTATTACATGTTGTTCTATTGTTATCAGCTTTAATAATCCTCTAGTTAAAACGTGGTGCATTATTCATGGTGAAGGTGCAGAGTGCATTGGTATTAATAGACAAAAATCTAGCTACTAGGTTCCCTTGGAAGTTGTAATTTAACTCATTGTCTTAAAGAAATTCTTTTGCCTCATTCCCTAAGCTTCATTTATTTTTATAGTTCCACATGCTAGTCCCCAAACCATCAGTTAACACTATGCCAGTTAAAAACAATAATGATCAAATCTGTTTTTCTTTTGGTTTGATTTTCTGGAATATGTGGAATATTTCTTGCAAAGCATTCCACTAAAATATTACTACTTTTAAAAAAATGACATCTCCCCAAAATTACTGGGGCCAATTGTGAATACCTTTGAACAATCATACTTGGCTCTTTCACATACATGAGCCTTTAATTTCTATTGCATATTCAATTTACTATTTATATTTGGAAACTGGCACGCCAATATTTAGTGGCTTCACTTAACAGCTATTGCCAGTAAACTGTCTTTGAGAACTTCAAACACTATTCCTACATCAAAGCCTTGTGTTGGGGATGGATGGCTTGCTCCAAAATAGAGATACTTAATACTAGGCAAGGGGAATGCTCATCACAATAAGGAAATATGCAACGAATAAAGGGTGAGGGGAATATTTTTTTTCAAAATATCCATGTTGTTACTTTACTTCTGAATTCCTGACACATACTCAAGGAGGAAAGCGTTGAGAACTGCCATTCTAAATAAAGCGAGAGATAAAATTATGGCCAGATCCATTAGGGTGGAGTCTCATCATGAAGAAATAGGGATGAAAAGAGGATAGGAATTCCTCAGATTGGACAAGCCCAGATAGCACGTCTTGTGAAATCATTTTAATCGTTTAGAGGAAAGGCTGCCAACAGTAACAACAAGTCAATATTTCTTAGGTGCAAATATATGAAGAAGATTTCAAAAAGGAGCGATCAGACCGAGAAAGACTTAATCAAGAGAAAGAGGAGCTGCAGCAAATTAATCGAACTTCTCAGTCCCAGTTGAACAGGCTGAATTCTCAGGTATAAGTCAAAACAAAATAATCTTTGCCAGCACATGTGTGTGTTTTTTTTTTCATTAAAAATATTCAAGACTTTGGCTTCTGTTAATTGACATTGATTTTCTTTGAGAGGTAAGCAACTGGGATGAAATCATTCTTAATCTTGTAAAGAGATGAAAATTACTGGCAATTTCTTTTAACTTAAATCTAGTAAGGAGTTACCTAAGAAACTGGATTCCAAAGTCTTTTATAAAATTCAACTCTTTTGATCTTTTTCTCATAATATTTATCTTGGTAGAAAGGGAGTTGAACTACTTAATACTCAAAATTCAAATCCAAAGCACTCCAGCATTGTGAATTTGTTTCTACACTCTTGTCATTTTCTTTTATGGGCCATATAGGAATGTTCCTGTCTTCAAGAAACATACATATTTCTAAAAGTTATTTATAGATATAAAATACAGTGAAATCGAGAATTTTATTCAGTGGGTTCCCCGATTAAATGTAATTGGATCACTCTCAAGGAAGCCACATAATGCTAGTTTATTGGAATAGAATATATTAAATGTAAACGTATTATAATTAAATGTAATAGGATATATTAGAAGTATACTTAGGAAGTGGCATGATGAATAAATATTGATGTTAATGAGGAAAATGTAGCTAACACAACTTTGGCTTAAGAAAATGAACCGCAGAATTTTTGATATGCAAAATCATCCAGTGCTTTTCAGTAAATAGGAAATTGTTGCAGGATATACTGTGACAGTTTCAGAGCTGCAGGATTCTTAGTCTCAAAAGAAATGTTTAACTATTTGTCATCCTCTTCTTCCAAATACAAAGTGTACTGTGAATTAAACTCAATTTCTTCTGTGACATATTTTCAAGGATTCATTTGGAATTCTTAATTTTACATGCAAAAATTATTTGGCCAAACCATTTTCTAAGAAATTAAAAAGAATAAAATAGTCGTTAAAGTATAATAAAATACTTTTCTGAAAATGTTTCATGCACCTTACTTTATACAAACGAGGAGTGAGGAAATGTTCTGATGACTCTCAGTGAGGAAATCACTCTTGATTTGTATGTCTTATGTGCAGAGCTCCCTTAATTTCTTCTAAGTTGTCACTGCACTAATTATTTTACTTCCAGCCAGATTTTAATTTGCTCATTCTACTATATTAAATTCAGATTGATGATAAATCTGTGTCTAAGATTGGCAATATCTTTGCCATTGTAGATGTTCTAGTGCTTCCAGGAACACATAACAATCTAAATAGAGACTATAATCCACAATTAATTTTTATTTCTCTGTCATCTGTAAACTAACTTTTAATTGATATCAACAAAATAATGCATTGTCTACATAGAGTATGGTATAATTGTATTGATAAACTAAGGGATCATCTTTATGATACCTTAAAATTACCAAAATTTTTCTTTAAATGATGATAATCCCAAGCATTTATTTTTCTTTTTTTTTTTTTAAGATTTATTTATTTAGGGCCCTTGGTGGTTCATTCGGTTAAGCTACTGCCTTCAGCTTGGGTCATGATCCCATGGTCCTGGGATTAAGACCCACATCAGGCTCCCTGTTTGGTGGGGGGCCTGCTTCTCCCTCTCCCTCTGCTGCTCCCCCTGCCTGTGTTCTGCTGCTCGCTCTCTGTCAAATAAATAAATAAAATCATTTAAAAAAATAAATAAGGATTTATTTGAGAGGGAGAGAGAGCTCTCATGCATGCATGAGTTGGGGGAGGGGCAGAGGTAGAGGAAGAGGCAGAGAATCTCAAGCAGACTACCTCCTGGGCACGAGCCTGACACAGGGCTCCATCCCATGACCCTGAGATCATGACCTGAGCTGAATTCAAGGGTCAGACACTTAACCAATGAAGCCACTCAGGCACCCCCAACCATTTATTTTTCAAAAGTCTCATTCACTCTACTCAAAGATATAGTAGATGGCTTAACAAACTATGTTTAATGTATTAACAGCAAATCGAATGCCATGATATAATAGAATTGGCATGATGTTATTTGAATAGCATATTATCTGTGGTCCAAAAAAGGAATTCTTAGGTCAAATTATTCTGGCACTAGTTTCCTGTGTACCAGAGTTTATTCATTCTATCGCTAAGGATGTTTTAAGCCAATGACTAGTAAAATAGGAGTGTGGTAAAGAGCAAAATACTTAGAGATACTTAGGAGTAGGAGTAGGGGTAGAAGCTTCATGTCTGTCCCTGCTTTGACAATCAGGGATGACACTGAACAAGTTCTCCAACTTTTATGCACTTCCTTTTCTTCATCTGTAAAATGACAAAGTTGAACCAGATGGTCTCTAAAATATTTCTTTTAATTCTAAAACCTCTGTCTCTAAAAGTAAGTTTCTAAATCTCTTAGTATACTCACCTGTGAAATATGGATGATGGTTTCCACCTCCTGACTTCACAAAGTTGTTCTCAGGGTGAAATGAAAAAAAAAACAAAAACAAAAACAAAAAAAAAACGATACAAAACATCTAGTTCAGGTCATGCCTCACAGGTTTTTCACAAAATGATTTTAGTCTGTTGGCAGGGGGAGTTTTTAAACAGTCTGTTAGTTACATAATTAACATGCCACTTTTAGTCCCTTGAAATTTAATTTTGATGCTTTCTTTCTCCAAGGCATTTGTTATATACCGTGAGGAACTAAAAGAATGATCCTTGCTATTAAAGACTGACAATATAATGAGGGGGACATATATAGTCTATCCGTATGGATTCCTTATAGTCTATCCTTGTGGATTCCTGATAGTCCTTGAGGATTCCATACTGGTGTATCTGCCTGCTCACTGAAATGTATCTGTCACCCCAAAAATCAATACTGGTGCCACCTAAGTCCATTTGTGAATATGTACAGAGCAGAAAAAAACTTGAGTCACCTTGCACACTTGTTCCCAGTTGAGGTCCAACAAGGCCTTGCCTCCTTGTTTCGGCTCTCAGACTATAACAATTGTCTTTTTTGTGATTTATTTAGTCCCACATGTTCTCATTTTTGTCCTTTTTGTTGGTTATTGCTTTGCTTAAAATGCCCCCCACAGAGTGCTGAGGTGCTACCTCATTTCCTTTAGCAAAAGAAGGCCATGCTGTGCCTACAGAGAAAAGACATGTTAGACAAGCTCATTCAGGGAATAACATGGTGCTATAGGCCAAGAGTTCAATGTTAATGGACCAATAATCTATATTTAATAAGATGCCTTTAGCAGAAACACACATAAAACAAGATTCTGTACTGATCAGTCAACAAAAATGGTCTGACCAGAAGCTCATAGGAACCTAACCCTGCATTTCCTGAGGAGCAGTGGTTGCATTCGCCACTTCATGTTCATGGTGACTTTACAAAACATAACTCCTGTGGGTTATGAAAACTGATTATACACAGTACACATTGGACTATAAAAAGTCACATGGAAAATATATAATGCTAAATGGGAGGACAAAGGAAGCAGAGAGGCGGGACTTGGAACAATATCATTCAGTGGGGATATATGCCTTACATGGATGAGGAACAGGGTGTGTGGGGATGACAATAGCATGACTAATGAGTCAAACAAAAATGGCTTTCTCTAGTTGTGTCAGAAGTTGAAAAACTCCAGGGTGGGTAACTCTGCTGGGCCTTAAATAGGGAGAAGCCAAGTACAGCAGTGTGACATTGGACAAGTTCCTCAGTATCTCAGAGCTCCGTGTCCTCATCTGTAGAACAGGGATAATAGCACTGAGTATCACATGGAGGCATTGGGAGGAATCAGTGAGTTATTACATGTAAAGCCGTAGATTAGTGTCCGGCACGGAGGAAGTGCATGCACAACTTTTAGCATTGATGGTGTTAGCTCTTGAGTGTACAGCAGACCGATTCCAATTCTGCAATAAGCCGTGGAAGCTGTTTCTGTGTCTCTATCTCTTCCTAGGTCTCTACATTTATATCTGTATATCAGAATATCAACCTAAAACTGAGAACTACTGTTGTTTCAACAAATTGAAATAACAATTTAAAATGATTCCACTTTCCAGACTTTACTTGGGTGTTTCAAGATAGAATCAACGCGGGTCTGGAAAATCCGAAACGTGACTGTTTTCAATGGCATGACTGCTGTATCAGTGCTTCACTCCTGGGGCTTCTGAGCAGATCATGACAGCTGGGTCAAGAGTAACTTTAGAATGAACCATGTGGACTCTTTCGATAAACAAATGCCTTTGTTTTGTCTGTAGATAAAGGCTTGTCAGATGGAGAAAGAAAAACTCGAAAAGCAATTAAAACAGGTACGTGGCTCCTTAACCTGAATTCACCAGTCTTCTGATTGTAGTTGAAATGGCAACATTAAGTTCTGCCCCCACATTTATTCCTGGGCACAGCAGTTCCTCATGGTTGCAATTAAAAATGTATTCAGGCTCTGCTACAGATGTTCCAGAACAACCCAGGCTTTGCGTTAGGGACTAAAATGCCAGTGAATAGATAATGCTTACATACCACCAAAGCCTCTCAGCCCTAACACTCATGAAAAACACATGCTTTCCAGCACATGTTACCAGTAGCACATGCCTTAGCGCATAGAAATCTATGGGGGTTTTTTCATAGACCCATGAACACCTTGTAAGTATATTTCCTAGCTGTTTCTTGCAGTTGCGTACACAACGTACAGTGGAAAATTACATCAAAGGTTTGTGCCTCTTCGAGAAAATACAGTATCTTCTTGGCACGGAAGTGTTCTGTCCCATTATTGGTTCTCTAGTAGGCTTCAGGAATGAATATTATTTCTCTTAATTCTTAATTTCCTCTCTGGACTTCCATTATGCTGTAGGAGTCTTGTTAAAACTTCTTTTATGGCTTCAATGGCTGGTTCTTCTTAAGTGAGGACCCTCTGTGAAGATAACTCAGACACATAAAGTTCAGTCTATACCATTTAAGTGTTTCTGATGTCTTCAACATGAGAAGCTAATTAGAGGTTCACCTAAAGTGACATCTTCCCTGGGTGCCTCATCGCTGTCAGCCCAGAGGTCACATCCGTGCTCCCACTATGCTGAGCTGGAATTATGCGAGAGTTCAAAGGAACCTTAAGATTTCAGCCAAACCTGGGGTTGTATAAAGCAAGGGTCAGTGTGACTCCCCAGTTTCACCCACTTCCAGTGAACCAACGACATTATCCTCCCCCAGATGTTGTTCCCGATGTGTAACTGCGGCTTGAATTCCCACGGGCAGGATCCATGCGCACCAGCAGGCCCTGGAGCTGCACGGGATCAACAGAAGCCCCCAGTAAGTAAGAGCTTGCGTCTCAACACACGAATGCTTATATTATCTAGTAGGTGCTAGTATTTTTTTTTTTTTCCGGTAGAAATGCTGTCTGTCTCTGTAATTTGGACACACACTCTTGTCCACAGAAAGAGCCTCTTTTTATCTTGGCCTCTAAGTTAGAGAGTTACAGTGGTCACGGTACACTGTACACTTTTTGGGACACGGAATCCACAGGACACACGTGGATATGAATAAATTCACTGAATGGCATCAAATTGAGCTGTAATTTGTTGAACAAACACACAACATTTTATAAAGGCCATTTTAAATGACATACCTGACTCTTCCAAAAGAGGGTTTTTGTGCATAAAGAGAACCAAAATGAATATAGCAAGTCTGAGAGATGCCTTTTTCAGTTGTAAACTTATATTGAACTTCTGTGGATATGGCTACATCTGTGCAATATAGTCTTTTGACATTTTCCAATTAAAAGGATATTCTTAAAGGATCCCAGAAAAAGTGACCCACTTAAGTTGCTCTCTGTGGCTGTGTCTAGCCAGGCAAAATGAAATGAACTGTGGAGCAATTATTTGTGAGTTGAATTGATTTGGACAGTCAACCTGAATAAGACAGAACCAAAGCATCCTTCCTTCCCTTCTCCATAGCACTATTACCCCCACCCTCCCCCACCATCTGGACGCTGCTCTCTACTCTGTGTTTTGGCTACATAGACAGTGTCTTTATGCAGGAAAAAAAAAAAAAATATGCATTTTCTGCATTTTGGAAATGCTCAGACAACTCCCCTCCCCCTTACTTTGTGTTAACTGTGTTTTTAATTATGCAAAGAATCTTGAGATTTTTAACTGGGATTTTCCTGGCAGAGCACTTACGGAGAGCATGATTCTTTTGGTTGCCATACTTTTGTATTTGAGTGTGACTCAAAGCCCTTTTCCCAAGGGAAGAGGTAATGACTCTTTGGGTGGCAGAGGCATGTCAGAATTTAATGAGCATCCCTTCTTTGACCCTGGTGTGACACACAGCACACTGCTGAGAATTGGGTTCTTTTTGTGTTATAGCCCGTTGTCACTTCTGTCTGCTGACCCTGCCCCGTTTCCTTTTTTCTTTACCTGTCTGCTTACTTTTCAATCTTTACCAGAAAAGCACTTCTGGGAATCCCCAAACACAGCTATCATTCCTTAAATTTTTGTCTTTCAGAATGTAGAAGTAAATTAATATTGTGGGAAACATAAAGAGATAGGAGTTCACTTTGGAGTGAGCTCCTACAGGTTCGGGAATTGGAGAAATATTCTTGTGAAAGGTTAACAATAAAACCAATGAGTCATGCAAGTTTATCTAGAAGTAAAAATGACTATTTTCTTCAAATACTCATTTATGAAAAGAAGGCAGAAATTCACCTATTATAAAATCTCATCAGACTTGCCCGATCAATTATAAGAGGCAAGGTAGTCCAGACCATGTAAAATTATCACCAAAAAAAGTCTTGTATTTGAAAAAGATTCCAAGCCATGTATAATGGCCTACATTTTCAAGCAGTGTTCAGTCAAACAGAATCTTGGTATAACAGTAGAATTTCACTCCCGGAGTTCATTTTAAAAGAACAGTTCATGTTTTATGCTTATTTCTAAGCCTGAATTAAAAGACAAGCAGTAGTGTTTGTAAAATTACAGTATATTTGCCTTCTTTTGGCAACTCTCCTGGAATCTAAAACTGAGGCTCACGTCACTTATCCTATGTGTTCTTTGAGACATCTAAAAATAAACGAGGAGATAAAAAACAGAGGTGATCTCATTTCCTCTTTTAGCTTTTTCGTGGACCAAAAGGAGCCAAGAGTCTAGGTATCTGAGTGGGGGTAAAGTGGGGTCAGACTGTACTAAATGCAGCATTTCTTAGTGTCTTGTCAGATAATTGAGCTTTAAGGCTACTTTCAGTGGTCTGGCACCCCTGCAAATTCTCCCTGTTGGCTTATCGGTAGAGACATTTTCAGGAGTTATTTCAGGAGATAATTGATTAATAGAATAAAAGATCTGTATTCTGTGTGTCTTGGGAGGTGGGGAGTAGGAGGCAGGGGTGAGCACTGGGAGCAGGAAGACAGACCATCCTCATGGGCAGGTGAGGCTGGGTTGCTCTGTTCTGAGTGGCTAACTACAGAGGTACTCTATCTTGGATTTCTCTATCTCTGTCTTGGAACTCTATCTTGAATTTCGGGTCAGTAGTTTATGATTTACTCAAGGCAGTTTGTTTGACATGTTCCCCAATGTCCAATATCTAGGTGTTCTTAACTGGTGAAGCCTAGAAGAAAATCCCACAAGAAAAATCCAAGTCTACCCTCACCTCTTACCCCCTTTCTAGTCTAAACTCTCTGAACGATCTAGAGAGTACTTTCCACGGAGGAACAGTATAAAGAGAGATCAGCTTCATTGTCCTGAGCCTCTGTCAGCGCTCTCCTCACTGAATGGCTTAGATTTCTTCCTTGTACCCCAAAACACTAAACTTGTCATTGTTCTCTTGGTCTCTCTGTTGTCTCCCATGTGAGTGCTTTAAACGCAGTATTTATTGATGGTAAACTGCTTTGTTTTATTTATGGGCTGTAGTAAGTTTTACAGAAGTATTTATACTTCTGCAGATATCCCAAACACATCTGCTTTAAAAAAAAAAAAAATGCCACAACCCCAAAGTAGAAGGAACTCTGGCCAACACAAAGTGGATTTGGGGGGGTGGGTTTGGGAGAAGGGGATAGTGATGAAGGAGGTAAGAGAAATGAGCAAGATTGGCAGCAGGTTTGGATAGAAAGGACGTTTGTGCTGCCTACGTAATAAAAGCCACATAGTATAATTATATTTTTAATACACCACTATGTTTTGTTTGAAGTCCATATTGCTATAATAATGTTTTATTGTTCCACACAGCCAGACTATCAGTGGTATGCTCCTGACCAGTTTCCGCCAGATGTGCAGCATAAGGCAGATGGTAAGACCACAGCTGTATTGAGCATTCTTTCATGTTTACATTTTAATGGGATCTTTTGGGGATGTTTACTCAACATACATTCATTCGTACTCGAGGAGGGCCTTCCATAAAGTCGTGTTGAATACACAACTCTAATTTGATGCACCTGGGGTTAACTTGAACTCCTTCAGAAACAGAAAATGTTCGAATGCAGAAATGTAGGAATCTCAGTTCTGGCTTCTGCTCCTATTCCAGGCTCAGAGTCAGTATTCCATCTGGGGCTAGAAATGAAAACTTCAAGTGGAGCTATACTGTAACAACAACAACAAAGCTCTGGGATTCCACTACAAAGGGCAGATGCACGTCCACTATTCCAGGTTGAGTTTGCTAGGCAGATGTTTCGAATGTCACTGGCAGACAGACAGAGGAAACCAAAGGCTCAGAACTGTGTTCCCTAATGACTAAATGTCAGACTCCAAGTTTAGGCCAAGGTAGCCCACAACACCCACCTCTAAGTGTGCTGGCGGGGGGTGGAAACCAACACTAAAAAGTCACCTGTCGAGTACTCACAATGGAAAACTCTTCTATCTTATTTTTCTTTGGTTGACCATTCTCCTCTTCTTTCCAGAATCTGCCACACTTTTTCCTGCTTGTTTCTGTGCTCTCATGAGGACACTCAGGAACGGGCTGTATAAACTGGACTATAACCATAATCCCACCTCTATTCTCATCTCAAGTCAGCCATGCCTGCTACTTGTTTAAAAATCTCAAATGACACACACCTGTGACCCTACATTCTTAATTACCAGAGATTTTAATCTATCTAGAAAGGCTGAATATGAGCCATATTCCAATTTCAGGCCATACTTGAAGCTTGATCTCATTTAGTTCAGATCTGAGATGATAGAATTCTAGATTTTACTACAAGGAGCCCATTATGGAGTAGAAACAGAATGCCAGGGATAACACATGTGGTTTTGTAGATTGTGTACTTCACAAGTCCAAGTTCTGTAAATGGAGCTTCCTGGAGTTGCACAATACACAACCTGGACAGGTGTACGCAGCAGCACTAGGAGTGGCAAGGGCCATAGCTTATAGCAGCTTTATAGAGAAGAAAGATAAAAAGTGAGAACTCTATAAAAGAATGTCTAGGTATTTATCAGAAAACTGTAGGACTCTTTTTTTCTTCTCTTTCTACTTTGAATACAACCATTGGTTTTAATGAAGTTCTTGGGTTCCAGCCATAATAGAGAGCTTTTATTAGAAAGGCATACTATTAACCATAATGGTTGTTGCATAATGTCTGTGTTTTTGAAATCCATTGTTGTATAATAGCTGAGCTGCCACCCAATTATAATTTTCCATTTCATATTATATTGGTCTGAAATGAATATTAAAGATATTTTCTCCCTGAATTGGAGTTTAACCACTAGAAAATACAATTATGCAGTAGAGAATTCAGTAATATCATAAAGCTATTTTTGTATCACTAATAGGTTCTTTTGGACCAGTGTAATAGAAGCTAATAATTATATAAGGTAGAAGTGAATTGTGATGACCTTCAGAAACTAAATTAAATATGTAAAAATAGAATGTTATAGGCAGTATATAAGACCTAATGATTTTTGTCTGTTGGGAAGAACATAATGAAGTTTGTGTTGCGTAAACATGCTATGTAAGAGTCTACAGATGTAAAATTACAGTAAAATATAAACCTCTATTATGTAGCAACCTGAGTATTTTTAAGGACATTGCTCTAATCTTCACAGCAATGCTATAAAATAGGTTTTATTATATTATACCATTTTACAGATGGGGGAACTGAGGCTTGGAGAATTAAAGGAGCATGCCTAAATCACACAGTTGGTGAAATTTAGTCCTGGGATTAGATTGCAGACATATAGGACTTCAAAAAACCTGTGCTTTGAATCACATCCTATAGTGCCCTCAAAAACCTACCTTTCTCACTATATTAGTGTTTTCTATAATGACAGATACAAAATGAGAATGGGGATTTAACTTGCATAATTATAGAACTTAAATCTAACCCTCAATAATCTTTTCTTCCTATGAAGCCATAACATGTGTTACTTGTACCACTCATTTGGTATTTTGAATATCACAGGTAAAAGACAAGGTATTATGTAAGATTAAGTATGTAATAAATATGTTATGAATCAATTCATGCTTGGTCAGCCCTTGTCGAAACTGATGAGATATGTTGCCGTGTGAACCATTTCCTTCTCCATACCAACCCAGCTCTGCAGCTGACTGTGGCTTGTCTGCAGCAGGGAAGAGGGCTGATCAGGGATAGGGAACCACTGGAGAAATAAATTCCTTACTCAGGAATCTACCTGTTTTGATTTTTATTTCTCCTCTTCTAGCTTTCAAAGCTGATGCTATCTCAAGGTTCAAGCCAGTTCAAAAAATTGGCAAAAACTGGGGCGCCTGGGTGGCTCAGTGGGTTAAGCCTCTGCCTTCAGCTCAGGTCATGATCCCAGGTTCCTGGGATCAAGCCCCACATCGGGCTCTCTGCTCACTGGGGAGCCTGCTTCCCCCTTTCTCTCTCTGCCTGCCTCTTTGCCTACTTATGATATCTGTGTTGAATAAATAAATAAAATATTTAAAAAAAATTGGCAAAAACTCTGAAATCATCCTTGTCAAAAAAAATCCCTCGTGTGCCATTATTTAACTTCAGGGGTGGTTCTTATTATTTTTTATGTCATTTAATTGGAAAGCTCCTTCTGACTCGTAGATCCAACTCAATTGCTCAGAATTCTTAAAAGTAACTTTGTGGTATCTTTAAATAGGAGTTTGAAAAAGTTTTTGTTAAGCAGACATTTTTGTTATTTATGCTATTACTCATTGTCTTATTACTTGGCTAATATGTTTATCTTTCACTATTCACAAATACACTGCTAGTCAGCTCACCCTGTGTTTTGGGCTATAAATACCCAAACTCAAACAATGGAAGAAAAAAATGAGTGGAAAAATTAAGCTCTGTTTCTGGTAAATTATAAACAGAAAGTATTTTTAAAACTCTTATAAATTTTATTCATTTAATAAGTACAGAAGTATTCTACTTGTATTTCAGTGAAAATAACCCTTTCAGAAATATGGATATTCAAATGAATATTAATCTGTATGCGTGCCTTGTACATTGTCCTAGTTCTCAGTTTTTATTAATTTCCTATGACTCCCAACAAATTTTACTTTTCTGACCCTCATATATATAGCACATTATAGTTTGATCCTAGTATCTATCCTTATAATTCCTCTTATGGGAATCTAACCTGAAATAGTGGCTCTGACATCTACACGTGAAGTGTTTGCAGAACAGTAGCCTTTTGGGTAATGAATGATTAAATTGCTATGATCACTAGATCCTCCTTTAACATTCCCTGAGGCATGAATACACGGAAAGCTTCATACTTCAGGCTCAATATTTAAACATCATGAATCAAGCGTAGAAATTATTATAGTCTATCCTCCTATTGACAAATATAGCTGGAAGGGTAGATGAAATTTAAAATGCTCACATTCCAACCAGGACACAGTGGCCCAGGAGGACCTGAGCTGTGGCCCATCCCCTTTTCTTCCCACCTTTCCACTGGGAAGGATCTTGAGTGTGAACTTGAGTACAGCCCAGTTGGCACATCCATATGTCCCTCATTATACTACGTAGAAACAGTGTAGCATAATGAGGGACTTCAGGCCTGGGCTTCAGGCCTGGGAGAGAGGACCACCTGAGGCTGAGAAGCAGAAACAGGGTCACTTGAGCAGAAATTTTGAGGTCCCTCATGTGGGTACCAAGAGATTGTTCTAGAAGGAGGCAGATTTACAATGGGGAGGAAGGTGGCTGGAGGAGGGCCAGAGCAGGGTCTTCTAAAAGTGGGAACCGAATGAAGGGCTTCCTGGCCAAAGAAGAAAGTCAATAGGTACTGAGTACTCTCATACAGTCTGGGTCACCGTATTTCCAGCTTTGCTCTCAGTTACATTCTCTGTTTTTTTTTTTTTTTTAAGATTTTATTTATTTATTTGACAGAGACAGTGAGTGAGAGAGAACACAAGAAAGGGAGTGGGAGAGGGAGAGGCAGGCTTCCTGTTGAGCAAGGAGCCTGATATGGGACTCAATCCCAAGACCCTGGGATCATGACCTGAACTGAGGCAGATGTTTAACAACTGAGCCACCCAGTCACCCCATTTTCTGGTCATTTTAGAATGCTTTGCAGACACATTGGAAATTAACTCTTCTTTCAAAAACTCAAGATTTAAATAAAGGTTTTTAAGGCGTTTAAGACTTACTTGGCTTTCTCTCTTCACATTACTAAATAATTGCATTTTTATATATCGAAGTCTATAGATGTTAAGGGGTTACTGTTTCTGTTAAGAAACATATGATTTTATGCAAAACATTTTAATCTCATTTCATCTGTTATCGGAATGGGATGCAAAATGACTTCCATGTTTCTAGAACAATTATGGCATTTTAGAGTTAATATAACCTTGAAAACATGTTTTTTGTTTCTTTCTTTGTGAAATGTCAAAAGACTGTGTTTTCTAACTACATCACATGCCAGTCTCTTCCGTACCTTCCAAATTTTTCATATGGTGCAGAGTTGAACTTTGTCTAATGAGCTAGAACTCAATTCTTACATGTTTGGAAAGACATGAAGTGTAGGCACATGAGATTGTGTTGTGAGCAAACATAATTATTTCTTTATGATATAAAAGATCAAAGCCCAACTATTATAATTTGTCTTTACTAATGTCTAGTAATAACTAATTAACCGAATACTGACTGAATTCCTTTCCTAAGTCTACCATAACAAAGCACCAAATACTAGATGGCTTAAAACAGCAGAAATTTTATCCTCTCATACTCTGGAGGCTAGAAGTCTGAGATCCAGGTGTTGGCAGGGTCATGCTCCCTCCAGAACCCCTAGGGAAGGTTCCTTCCTTGCTTCTTCCTGCTTCTGGTAGCTCTAGAAGTTCCTTGGCTTTGGCAGCATAACTCCAATCTCAGCCTCACTCTTCACATGGCTCTCTTCCCTCTTGTCTGGGTCTGTGTCCAAATTTTCATCTACTTATAAGGACTCCAGTCATATTGGATGAGGCTAATCCAGTATAATCTCATATTAACCTGATTATGTGTACAAAGTCCTATTTCCAAATAAGGTCACATGAGAGGTACCAGGGGTTAAGACATACACATTTGGAGGGGGGGCACACTCCAACCCATAACATTGACCATGTGCCAGAAACTATTTTAGGCATTGTATATATTTATATATTATTTCATCAAAACCTTAGAGCAACCCTATGGAATGAGTACTGCTGTTGTTCCTGTTTTAAAATTGTGGAAACCAAGAAACAGATAATGTCACTCGTCTAAGACCATGTAGCTGGTTATTGGCTAGGACATAGACAAGCCGGGAAGTCTGCCTCCAAAGCCCACACTGTAACCACCAAGCAATATGGACAACTCCATGCTACACGTTAAAATATAATAGTGTCATCATTTAGATCTGTTCTATTTAAATAAATCCTAATGGATCTATCCTGAAAGCCAGAATCTGCAATTCTCAGTTGTGTCTTTTTATAACTGTCTTTATAACTGAAAATTACAGATAATTTTACATCAGTAAAATGGCTGGATTAGTTGGATTTTTTCCAGTGGTATGAAGAGATATAGGAATCAGTATAAATAGTAGAAGGTACTTAAGAGATGTAAGAAAGAGAAAAAACTTAGACACTATACTTGTGTGATTTTCAGTACAGATGGATAAAATACTAAGAATATTTTTCTTTTATAAAATATACTTAATTATCTTACCAGCAGTTAATAAAAATAATCAAAATTTAGAGACAAATAGTTTTATGTCTATTTCTGGATTTTTAGAAAGAATTGCAGGAGAAATGCATCCTCACCTTATAATGACATAAAGGTCGGCTTAATGGTAAACTAAGTGGTTTTGCGAAGGGATATTAAATAAAGTGTAAATGTATAATTATATGTACAGGAACATATTAAAACACAGGTGGTAAATATATTCCTATGCAGACATTGATTTATAAGCAAAGACTAAACATTCTGATTAACATCTTATATAGATAAACATAGGTAGGTAGATAGAACCTAGATGAGAAAAATGCCCACAATAAGCTTAGACTAGTCACAATTCCACTAGGTGAATAAAATTGCAATATTTATCTTAAACGGAAGATAAAAATCTGTAGGGAAATGAGGTTTCTATTACATGTCGCATCCCAGCTGGGGAGAATGTCTACTTACCTACATTTCTGTACTGTTGATGCATGAGCACGCAGGTTCTGAGGTGAGTGGGCATGTAGAGAGCAGAGTCCCCCTTTAACCTCTCCGCTGCTCTGGGGCACCTCCCCTTGTAGGGGACTTTAGATTCAGCTGATCCTTGATGTAGAGTCAGACATGGCCTCTGCCACCAAGATCTGTGGGTCCTGTTCAGATCACTTCAGCATCATGGGAATTAACCTGCACTCTTGTGAACATAAAAGCATAGAGTGTAACACATAACATTAATAAATAATAAGGCACACAATCGGTTACTGGAACTCTTTATCAACCAGTAAGGCAAAGCAGACTGTCTGCACTATGAGAACCCATGTTTCTCTGGTGGTGTTTCTCTTGCCCTGCCATTCGAACCACGGAGCCAAGTCTGATGACAGAAGTCTCTTCCCACATTCACTGCATAGAGGGACATTCTGTCTTCCATTCAAGAAACTGAAGACCTGTTTTTTTTCTTTTGTTCACATTTCCATTCTGCCATGGATCTTCTTGGGGGTCACAAAAGAAGTTTTTCTTTTTTTTCTTTTCTTTCATTCTCTCTGCTAAAACATGGGAATACTGATTTCACCTCTGTATCTATTTCACAGGAGTGCTATAAAAACTATAGAGAAATTAATTTTTCTTAATGTTTTAAGATATCTAGGGGTAGGTATCATAAATGGATTAAATCTAAACTTTAGACTGTTCAGACCAGTGGATTATACTTCTGGGTCCAAATTCATGCTCTCACCATATTAGATACCTTTTTAGTAAAATGGGCACCATTCTTAGAGGAGTATTTTATTTAAGCCTGGAAAGGAAACAGTTAGTTAGTTTAAAAGTTTGTTTATTTGAAATACCAAATACAGGGCAACAATTGTAGAACATTTAACATGTTCTCAATTGTTATCATGAATAAGAAAATACCTTATTTCTTGAAATTTGTATGTATTTTTTTGTCACCATGAGTAGATCTCTTTGATTTTGTCTTCCCTATAGTGCTCATTTGTGGTATTCTATCCTAGTCTTAACTGAAATATACCACATTTTTCATATTGGTCTTCATGGTACATTAACACGTCTTAAGTACGTGATCTTTTCTATCGCTCTGACAATAATGTACCCTTCACCATACTTAAAATAGTTTATGTGGTAGTTCTCTTCCCTGGGCTAAGTACTAAACCTAATAGTAACAAATATGACTTACTTTCCTAAGCAAATGCTTGAGCTACCAAAATGCCAACAGAGATGAGAAGTAGTACAGAATATTCCTCTTCAGGCATGAGTAGAACTAGGCCACAGCTGATTTCACAAAGTGGTAAGCATATGTCAATGCTTAAAATAATAATCCTCCATTTCCCGCCTCTTGATTTTTTAGTGTAAACTTGTGGGAGCTCATGAATAAAATATTTCTCTCTCTCTCTCTTTTTTTTTTTTTTTTTTTTTTGCCAGCCTCAAAGTTTATGTTAGCCCTGAGCCAGAAGAAGAGAAATGAATTTTTAATTTTTAATCTGAAACATTTCTCTGCTGTTTTTCATAGGTTTCTCTTCAGAAAAGAAAGTCAATCAGTAGAAGCACACACAAGTAGAGGAACATTCGGGCCAGAGGGAGAGCTTGGCTGAGGACCCTCGTTTTTCTTTTTACTGGTGGCTTATGTCAACACAACTGCACATCATCTACTCCATGATTCGTGCATGGTAGTGTTTCCCTTTGGCACAGAGAGAGGAAAAGACTTGGGACAGCTAAGATCCTGATCAAGTCGGAGAAGCCAGCATTACACAACCAAATGCAATGTCCAGTTTCCTCAAAATGAGATTTGGCAGATGGATTATGCGCCATTCTTTGAAACTGTCTTCAGCATATTGCTGTTGGACTTACAGAGGCTGATCTCATGATTTCAGCAACTCCACTTTTGGTACAGTGATGTTCTATGTTGATTGAAATATATATTCCCTGGGGGAAGAGTTACTGCAGTTATAAATTTGTAACATTGCTCCCATGATTTCTGTCGGGGCTTGGTTCTTTAGCCTGTGTGACTAGGTACTGTGCTCATCATTGTTGGTCTTGGTGAACCTATGATTAGGACTAAAGACATGTATAGACCTCCTTAAACTAAATGAATGGTTCAATTTGAATAAAATGGTAACCTTGAAACTATGCTTTGAGCAGATCATTTCTATAAGGCAGATAGAGAAATTGTGAGCCTCCTTCATTCTTCGGTGGGATAGGTTATGAAAGACAAAACTCCACTGTGATGTTGATGGCTTTGCTGTGTTCATATGTACTACAGTAGTAGTTTGGAGACACATGGATTTAGGGTGGAATCTGTTTTTATTTCCCATGGATTTGAGTAATTATTGATGAACAACACGTCTGACTCCTCAAACCTATAAAATTGGAAAATGAATGTATCCCGATTCTATTGTAATTAAATTTTACCGTGGCATGACAGATGTCTGAAGACTAAGCAGATTTAAAGTATTACATTCATCCATTTAATAAGGTTTCTGCTAGGACCAACCAACTGGAGGTCCTCTTTGTGAGGAGATGTAGAACAGAAGTGTGAGACCCACAGATATATGTAATCCTAGAAGCACCTAAAGAAAACTAGGAGCATCTGCTGAAGCAGTCAAATGAAACCATCCGACATACTGCTGAAACTCTCTGGCTCAGCTTCCAGAAGTTAAACTACTTAATTCCAGCTCAGACTCTTTTCTTTTTTTTCAACTCCTGAATATACACACAGCTTTGTGTAATGGGAAGGTGAACCAGCCTTAGAAAGTTAAATACTTTCAGCCGGGGTCTGGCTACTAGGAAGATAATTCCTGAGAAAGAATTATCCTTCTCTTACATTAATTCTCCTAAGCTTTGTTTTTGCTGCTACTTATTAAGGAGACAAATCATCCTTGAGCAATTCTTCAGCATAAGTGAATCAGAAAAACAATGGGGTTTACAAGTCAGTTTCATCAAAGCTTTTTTTTTTTTTTTAATTTCCATTTCCTCAGATTTGTGGAATAGTAATTTCAATAACACCTTTTAGTGGTGGATTAAGTTTGCCAACTGAGATGTGCCTATAGGAATAAAAACTGAACATACACGCAAAACGTACCCTTTGATAGCCTCATTCTACGTTAATCCAACAGCAATAAAACATGATTTAACCATCCTATTACTATTACTGAAGTCATCCTATTATTAATTAGCAAGTTGGCAAACATTGGCAAGATTATGCAAATGCTAATGTAATGGGAAAAACTCCAATTTAAGTGAGACCTAATTTAATTTGAATTCCCAGTGGGTGACTGCAAATGTGGGAAGAGGACCCCTTGCCCAGAGTGCAACAAAAGAGAATTTGTACAAGAAGACAGATTTCTACAACCCCGGCCCAAGAGCCAGTCAGTCTCTCCTGTGTCCCTCTTTCTAAATCATTTGTTTGGAGACTCCTGTCTCAGCCCATGCTTCATCCTCAGCTGTGGCCCTTGCTTCATTATCAAACACAATTTCTGGAAATTAGGTGAGGAATAGCTGTGTCCCTTTGTAGGAGAGGAAGTCATACCACACAGTCTCTTTTATCGAGGAAAAGGAAAACAAGGGCACATTTTAAGTTTTTGACGATCATGGAGAATTTAACCTTGAAGGTATCACATGAATAAATAGGTGTATTCACCTTGTCTTGGTTGTGACATGAAGTAAAAAAAAAAAAAAAAAAAAAAACCTTCCTTCGGGCCTTCGGGTCTGGTTAAGTCTGGGAGTTAGGCCAGCCTCTGTTGCTACTAGCATAGTTTTTTTTTTACTCCATTTTTCTGACAGAAAGGATATTTTGGACTAAATTGCTAATATGAAGCATGAACATACTTCCAGGTGATTTTCTTTGTTTTATTTACTGAGCTCTATCCCTTAATGTTCAAGTGCATTACATGGTGGAAGTATGGGTCTGAATGGTCACTTTCATGTATTAATGCTTTTAATGTAGCTCAGTCATAAGTGAAATCATATCTAAAAAGACATATGACCTCCCAACTCAATAATTCAATTTTACAAAAATTTTTTTAAATTAAAAAAAAAAACATGGAGTGCTTCACCAATTCATGTGTCATCTTTGCTCAGGGGCCATGCCAATCTTCTCTGTATCATTCTGATTTTAGTATATGTGCTGTCTAAGTCAGCACAACAATTATTAGATGAATACCCACTTGTTTTCCAAAATGTCTAGGCAACAACAAACATCAGCCCATTCCTTTCTTGGTTTCCAAATAACCATTCCTTCCGCCCCCAGCCCCCTGGAATAGCACCTGGGTATGCTTTAGGAAAGTTACCCTTTCCTCATTGGACCCAATTTGATCTAAAGTGCCCTGGCCTGTTCTAGGCAAGAGGCAACCATGTGATCCAAACCAAGCTAACTGGACACCCTGTTGCTGAAATTTGAACTTCAAGCCCGCATAGTCCCGGGGAGGCCATGGTCCTTACATTTGATCATGTTCTGCAAGTTCCACATATTTGATGTGAGTAACCCAGTGTCTCTCCAATCAATTCTTGAAGTCAGAGTTTCTCTAGTTTGAAACAAAAGAACCTTAAATTACACATGTGAGAGTTAAAGCTCAGAGACTGTCAAGGATATTGTGAGGAACACATATGTATGTTACACACACACATTTTTAATGATATATTTTAAAGTGGAAAATAAGCCTTGTAATAATATAATCAGATAAGTTAATTCAAATGTTATGCTTGCCAATCTTACAAAATATTACCTTGGATCATTGTGCAGTATATTTTAATATCTTTAAAGTGGAAAACACCATAATAAAAAATAAAATACAATTCTTCATTTGAATTTTCTCCTATATCCGAAAAGCCCCTTAGGAAAATATTTTAACTAGGCAAACTTGGGAAAAGTTCCAATGAAATAAAACCACCAAAGCCCATGTCTAACTTCCTTATTTCTTTTTCTGAAATGCTAACTTGCATGTAACTGATAATTTACATTTTCATAGGTTGTTAATAAATAAATTATAGGAAATAGGATTCTTTTGTGTAAGAACAATACCAAATGAATTCTCCTTTAACATCTCAGTGGGATGATGGTTTTTTTCTCAGCAAAGTTAAACTCACATTATAAACTTCCCATTATTCTGTAGCAGAATGTTAATTCAAATGCAGAGTAGTTCCTTAATGAGAAGTTAAGATAAAATTCCTGAATGCTTCAAAATCATCTGAGTCAGTACAGTTTTATTTATATTTGATCAATTCTACACATACCCTAATTCCCATCTTGATCAAATATCTATTTTGGATGTTATCATTTATCAATGTCATTTACTAGAAATTTGTTTTGTTTTTGTAAAAATGTGTGTGCAGTGATGGGACATGCAAAAGCAACAGAGACACTTTCTATTCTTTCTATTGTCAAAAGAAAATTATTCTAGCAGCTGTAGGGGTAGGCTCTGAAGCCAGGGAGAGTGAAGTTCCTTTTAATTTCCAACATATTTTTTGGCCTTTCAGTGTCTTCAGAAGTATCATATTTTTACGCAAAGCACAGTAGAGAGTCAGAATTTGGCAATTTATACTGAACAAGATATTAACATATTCAAGTGCTCTAGCAAAATTTTATAAGTTTTCCTTTTTACAAAAATGTATTCTTTCAATAATCAGCAGAATCTAGAATCATTTCCTCTGAAAGGACAAGTAGCCTTTAATTTACTTTTATATTATTTCTAGTTCAATAAGGTTCTAGCAGTTTGACAAAAATCCATCTTTCCCATAAGGCATTAAAGGTTAGTCTCAGAATATAGATTCATTACTAAGAAAACGTACAAAATTAAAATGTATTTTTTTTAAATACAGGAAGTGGAGAGCCAATGTTCTGACTTAAATTAATTTCTTTTTTTCCCAGTTTCATCATGTTTTCCTAAAGAAAATTATCATTAACACTATTCTGCAAACTTTTAACTTTCCTTTGGACATTCTTTCTTGCTTCAGCACCAGATAATTTAACATCTATGTCCTTCACCTCCTCCACCAACTGGGGAGACAGGATGTGTGAAATTGCTTTCCAGTCAAATGAAAAAAAGTCAGGTAAAAATAATTTTTTTGCCGGTTTTTTGTTTGTTTTTTGTTGTTTACCAACAGAAGGAGTCAAGGTAGCTTAAAACCTTTTATCCTAAATCCTTCAAGAGATCCACTTTTATCAGAAAGAATGTAATGAGTGGGTATAGCAACATTTTATAGAAGGAGTATGGTATTTGGAGTCAGGCACAGATTCTGCGCCTGGTTGTACCAGCTGTGAACATGAACAAGGGTGCCTAAACTAGTGAACCTCGGTTTCCGTAACTGAAAAAGGACAACAAGAAAACAGTCTCAGAAGATTTTTGTAAAAACCAATTCATATCACACACGTCACGTTTCTCCCTAGGCGGTGGTTGGGATTTGTTAGCTTCCTTCTGCTTATTGTGATAGTGAAAGAAATTTCTCTCAGGTAACATTTCCCAAAGTGTGCTTGGTAGGCAAGAAAGTGATTTTAACCCAGCTGTGCAGGAGAGGATTCCCTGTCCCCATGAATGTAAGATGTGTTTTGTCCAACTCAGCTTTTACTGTGGGACACTTCTCTTATCTCTTCATGTCACATTGCAAATTGCAAAACGTATATCGTGGATCCGTGTTAAGATGTTATGTTGATAAAGAGAACATACATAGAATTAACACAAAAATCTGATGCAATTCAAGATGAACCTCTGCAAGACAGAGGCATAAAATTCCAAATTCTCTACTAAATTTAGATTTATTAGGCTTATTAAAAGTTAGACCAAACACGGAAAAGGTTATGATACCACATATCATTAAGATTAGCTTCTTGTGGGGTGGGACAGGGTAGAAGGATGAAAAAAGGACGTAAATAAAAAAAGAGGTATACACCTTGATGGGATGGACAGGTGCAGATGATGGGAGGAAGCCCAGCCCCATGAATGGGTGTGATATGCCAAATAAAAGGTGACTCATACAAGGGAAGATCAGTTTGGATGGAATTCCCAGGAAAATCCAACAAGGAGTAACAATGGTGTTCACGGTGAACATGACTGAAAATGGATCAAAGCACGCAGATTGAAAGGGTTATCCTGATCCAGAAAGAGTGAAACAAAATAGAATATCTGGACACATTCTGAAAAAGTTGTACTATAAAGGTAAGGTAATAATCATAAATGTAAAAATAATCCTCATACAAGTTTCCAAGCTAAAAAAAATCAATCGGTCGACAAAGGAACAGTAGAGGGACACCAGCCAATCCTGGACAATGCAACATACAGGAAGATAATGGAGTAGCCCTTGTCTTTTTTTCTTTACATTATACTCTTATTTTTCATTTACATTTTCACTCATCTTTCAGGTATCAATGTAAATAACATACTGAATGTATATAAATAATACACTGAAATTATATTAAATTTTATATAAGTTGCCCTATAATGCCCTAGCAACTTATTATAAGGCAATTATAAATGCCTCATTTCTGGGTCTCCTGGGTGGCTCAGTCAGTTGAGTATCCGAATCTTGATTTCAGCTCATGATGATCACAGAGTCGTGAGATCAAGCCCCACGTCATGCTCTTTGCTTGGCTGGGGTCTGCTTGAGATTCTCTCTCCCTCCCCCTCTGCCCCTCCCTGCCTGCACTCTCTCTGTCAAATAAATAAATCTTTAAAAAATTAAAAAATAAATACCTTATTTCTTAGTAATAAATATTTTCACTTTTAAAAATATATTTAAGTTTTACCATATCTATGGCTAGTTAGAATGCAGCAATGATACTGCAAGGAACCTCTCTCTCCTAGAGTTTATCTTCCAGTTTTGCAAATCTGAATGGTTCATTACTTTTAAAATATACAGGTCACAGTTCAAAGCCAAAGAC